GCTCTGAAGGGAATATTTTTTTATCGTATAGAACAGGCCGTAAGAAAATTAATATTGAAATGTACTTAGAGACTTACTTCCTATAAACAGTATCTATCCTTTCCGCAAACATGGAGTTGTTTTACCTTCTTCAGATCTCGAATTACTAAGTTCTTCAGTCTAGGTCCAGCAGCTTAATGCCTTGTTTAAAATAAAGTTTGTATTCTGACCATCAAAAGAAACATTGCATTATATATATTTTTAGACAAATAAAGGATACAGATATTTGGATAGTGATTAAATGTTTTTGGTTTCATTGATTTATTGGTTCTCCCATCCATGATAAACCCAGTGACTTAAATGGTTCCAAGCATTAAATTGCCTTCTGTTAATTGGGCACAGGTGCTTTAACCTGTTAACTGTAAAATATGGTGAAAATTAAGACAAATACAGAAAGCAACCAGTATGCTCCACTTATAAGGAGAACAGTAGACATGGGCTGTTGGTATGTTGGACTTTTAACTTAAGTCAGTACACTGTTGCTCCCTGTTCTCAGTGTGCACAGCCAGCAGTTTCTAACTTGGTAAGATGTTAGAGCCAAAAACAGTCAATATTTGGCCATAATATGGGTCATGCAGTAGGTGATCTTAAGTCACAACACTTTGCTGAAATTGAAGAGGAAATCCAAGTGATCTGGTCTGACCAGGAAAGTCTAGTTTAGGGGTTTTCAGAGATATGGCCCATGGGGTTTTTCAGTAAATGAATGGGATTGTGGTCAGAACTATCAACAAGGATTCACTTTGTTTTATGGGGGCTTGCATAACCCACACATGAAACAGGTGTCCTCCTTAGTATAGCCCAGTTCTGTTCAAATCGTGGCTTGAACTCTTATGATCCTAATCCATCAATAATTTGTCATTTGCTTTTGGAGACAGAAGAGTTTTTGTTGCTATTATTGCATATGTGGCAGGCCTGTTCACCTTACCGGATCTCTCAACGGGAACAGCTAAGAGATATAATCCCTTCAGCACGTTCTGGGTCTGCCTTGGGTCCTCTTCCCACTCCACCTTGCCTGCTCCACCTCCAGTGGGAGGCGCCTGGCCTTCTTCAGCAGACGGCCAAGTCACGTCAGCTGGCTGCTGTCCCACTCCCCTCCGAGGTCCTTCGGGACGGCTGTTAGCTCAGTAACAGGGTAAGCCCAGCAGCAATGGAGAAGCCCCGTTCTGCCCCTTGAACCCCCGGTCTCAGTCGCAGCTCAAAAGCTAGTGGCCGTAAGTGAGAATGGGTACGTAAAGTAGATCGACCAGAAAGCTGCAAGCTTTGTCTGAAAACTCGGCTTCCGCTTCAGGACAGCAGTCTGCTACAGTGTCCACATTACTGCAGCTGCTGCACAGATGCGCTGGTCAGTCTCGCGTTCCCCTCTGCCCTCAAGGTCCTTCAGTTCCTTCACTTGGGGCACCTGTTCCCTGCTCACCTGGAGAGGGCAAACTTGTCTTTTCCGGAATAAAACTGTATTTTGAAGTGAACGGTTTAAACATGTTCTGCATTGTCACACAACATATTGCGATATAATTCTAACATTTGACATTTTTGCTGTTCTTGAAAAATGAGATAACCAGACGTTGATCAACAGTTTGATTTCTAAGAGATTTTGCTATGCATATTTGTGACTACATCACTGACCGGTTGACATTTATTTTAGAAAACCGCAAGCAAGATATCTAATCATACATAATTCTCCACAGTAGAAGAGACCTCTGTGGCTCGTTAAGCAAAATGGTAGAATGTTCTTACGCATTTGTATAAAAGCTTATGTGTAGAAAAACGTGGATCTAAACAGGTGTTCAGATTTTTAAGAATGTTTAAAGTCCTGTTAATCTATATAGACCATTATTATTCTTTCTTAGCCTTGCTTTTTTCTTCTAATAACGGATTAGCGTTAATATCCAGATTCCCATTGATTGGTTATAGAATAGGATGTAAGATATTAGAAGAGGCTGTTTGTCTGATTTTAGGAGCCGGTATGTATGTTCTATATTCCAGTATAGACACATAAACAGACAAGCTAATGCAACCACTGATGATGATGGAGCAGCTGTTTAATTTTATTGTTTCTAGTGTAGTGAGCTCTCTGAAGGCACCAGTTCTGTAGGGTTTGGGCATTTACTGGGACAATTATTAATTGTAGCAGTAAATCACAAAATTGATTCTTTTGATGGCTTTAGAATCCAACCATGCGATATAACTCAAACAACGCACACACACAGGTACAAATACACGAGGATACATTTATTAATACATAGAATATGCATGTAAACCTAACAGATCTTATCGAGAGGGTTATCAGAATACAAAAGGTATATATTCAGTCAGTTACAAAGAGTTACATATATCAAGAGGGCATACGTTCAGTATATCATTCATTAAGACCGTTTCGTAAATGAACTTGGTTATAACTTCTACATTAGATACTCAAAACAAGTACATAACTCTTAGGAATTAAATTGATATCAACTGGTTGGGATAACAATTGAATTCTCGAGCTGTAATGCATTGAAGTTGAATACTCATCCAATCTCTGGGGATTCAGATCTCCTGCGGGCACAAAGAAACAGTTTCAGGCTGTTGCTGTCCAATCCGCGCTCTCTGGCTCGGTGCCAGGCTGTGCTGTGCGGCTTGCGACGGTGCGCTGCTGATGCTCACTGACCGGCTAGTTAGTCTTGGCTTTAACTAGCAAAGTTTGCACACAGGAGAAAAGATGACTGTGAGTCCCAGCAAGTCAGGAAAAGGACCAGTTTGTTCCTGATGAAGAGCTAGTTCTGAATAGTGATTCAGCTGTCCACAGTTCTGACCTGTTCACGAGGCCTGCTGCTGGTGCTAACCTCGGGTGGATCCTCTGGTTACTCTCTGGCAACTTCCGCTCTCGACTCTTAGAACAAAGGAAAGTTCTGGCACTCGGACACACTGGCCGTTCCGTGGTTGTCCGGGCTGAGTCTCGGGATGGTCAGGAGGCGCGCTGCGAGAGTGTCCTGCCCTTGGGAGCCTTCTGCTCCTGGGCCGTCCTGCCCTGGAATTCTCCTTTGAATTCCCTTTAGAAAAGTCCGAAAAAGTCTCTCGGGCCCTCTGTGTTGCCTGTTTTTACCTGGAGGAACTTCAGCTCATTCATTGGCTGAAAGTTCCATGGGCATTAGAGTCCCACGTGGGTTACTCGGCCCTACCAGTCCCTAATTGGTTGATCAAGGTGAGATATGAGTCACTTACTCCTGACACTTAGGAATGCAGTCCAGATGTCCATCTGGCACTCCCTAGACAGATAGGCGCCAATGGATGACCATTGATCATGATAGCCAGGCTTAGCTAAGTGCATCCCCCTTTGGGAGCTGTCCCTTATCAAAGGAAACCTTAAATCAACCTGCATGAATAGTTTCTCTGTGGCTGCACCACAGAGATGAACAGAGAGATGAGGCCTCATTTGGGAAAGCACAGCAACACTTAATTCTGTCTTATTAACAAGCATTGCCGCTACACTAGAAATATCAGTATTAGCTTTTTTTAAGGATTGTGCAGATTCATAACCCGATTATGAAATGCTTACCTAAATTTCAAGTGGTGCCCTGGGCTGACCTGACCCTGAAGTAGTGTGAATGGAATCTACTATGCCTACTATAAGTGATAATTGGCTCAGGTTGTGTGTACTTTCTATGTTTCTCCTTCCAGTTAAGGTCCATTGATGGAAAAGCTTTGCGCAGCAATGCACGTCCATCTATTTTCTAAGTGTTTCATATAATTCAGTGTTGCAAACTGGGGAGCTGGAGCCTATCCCAGCAAGCAATGGGTGAAAGGTGGAGTACACCCTGGATGTGATGCCAGTGTATCAGAGACACACAATTCCACACCGAGTTCAATTTTCCGGGAAGTGAATTAACCTGCCAGTATGTTTTTGGACTGAATCAGGTAACTGGAGAACCAGGACAAAAGTCATGCAATCACAGGGAGAATGTACAATCTACATGCAGATAGCACCCCGGGTCTGAGCTACAAGGCATCCATGCTAACCACTGTCCTACCCTGCACGATATGTTACTGCAAATTGTGAAACCTTTCTTCAAAAATTGTGAAGACGGCTGTTGTCTTATTGTATTGTAGTGTTTTGTTAATTGGAGGCAAATAAGCAATTGTTTTGTGAGCAAGTAAGGTTTATTTTTTTCATTAAAGGCCTTTTAATTGGAATCATGGTATTCCTCTCTGGGGAGAGTGTAGTCACTGCTGGCTTATTAAGCCTAGTTATTTACTCATGCCCTGTCTTTGTGTAATCTTCAAAGGTTGTGTGATCTTCAAACTGTTGGTTTTGGTTCTCTTAATTGACAGAAAATTGCAATCGATTTGTGTTTATCTCTTTAGCAGAGCTTCTTTAAGACCCACCATGTATAATGCCATTGATAGTATGGTAATTTATACACCGTTTAAGTTTGGTTATGTTCCCAATGTTCTTAAATTATTCATTTTTATCAGTTTAGAATATTCAATGTCCCTAAAGGAGTTATAAAATGTAGGTTTATATTGCTAAACTATTACATATTTTAAAGCAGAACTGCTTTGGAAACATTCATTCTCTCATTTATATCGTAAAGCTTTGTTTTAATGCAGGAAATTGTTTATGCACTTTTGTTGTGTAGCTTGAACAAATCCATATAGAAATTGCAGCTTTTCTTTTTGTTGGTACAGAGATCCTGAGCTTTTCAGGAATATCTGATGATAAAATATCGTGAAAGTGTGAACATTATTTCTAGTGTTAGCAAAACTGGAAATGAGAAGCTTGAGAAATCTCAGAAATCTATCTTAAGTGTTCTCCTAAGAAGAGTCTTTCTGAAAAGTATTACAGGCCTCATGCTACAGGGAGCTTTTGTATTGTTTTTTTAAGTCTATGCTTGATAAATGTAAATACTACTGTCAGTGTGTTCTATGTCACGATTGCCTCTATTTGGTGCAATTCAATCAAATGTGCGTTTTTGTTTCAGAGGATGCCAGCTCCGATCAGACTGCGGGAGCTCATCCGGACCATCCGGACAGCTCGGACCCAGGCAGAGGAACGGGAAATGATCCAGAAAGAATGTGCTGCTATTAGATCATCCTTCAGAGAAGAAGACAACACATACCGCTGTAGAAATGTTGCTAAGCTACTCTATATGCACATGCTGGGGTACCCAGCACACTTTGGACAGGTAAAGTATTTGAACCCTTGGGTTTTTAATCAAAAAGGACACAAATGTGAAGAGGCCATTTGCCTTTGCATGATTATTTGTAAAATCTCATAGCTTACACTGAGAGCAGTTCCCCAAGTATGGATTTATCTTGTGAAACCCCATTCCCGAAAAAGGTACATTATTTTTCAAGTAGCCTGTTCTCCTAACCTGCATCTTTTTGGTAGATGGGAGGAAATTGAAGCACTCAGTGGAAACCCACACATAAGCAAAGAACATGTATACTCCACACAGACATCATCCCCAAGCTGAATGAGGTGGTAGCTTCCATCACAGTGCCATTGTGCCTGATTTTATTTTGGGGTTTTATAAGATCTTTTAGTATCAATTTTGGAAAATTAATTCTATTTTTTTAACTAAGTAGTTCAATTCCTGTTCAATTTTATTTAATGTATTTTTCAGTTGGAGTGCCTGAAATTGATTGCATCGCAGAAGTTTACAGACAAGCGAATAGGGTACTTGGGAGCCATGTTACTACTGGATGAGAGACAAGATGTCCATCTATTAATGACAAATTGCATTAAAAAGTAAGACTGATATTTTAAAGTATATTTGTTTTGGAATCATGGCTATCTGAAGTAATTTGCAGCAGCAAAGATACAAATGTGGTATTGCATATAGGCATAGCAGCTTTAATTATCAAATGTTACTCAGCTAATTAACTGTTAGTTAACTCAGTTAACAGGAAGTAGTAATAAATTTAATGTCTCTAAGCGAGCCTTGCTAACTTTTTTTTTCCTCCTCCATTTTTCAGTGATCTGAACCACAGCACACAGTATGTCCAGGGGTTGGCATTGTGTACTCTAGGTTGCATGGGCTCATCAGAAATGTGCAGAGATCTAGCAGGAGAAGTGGAAAAGCTACTCAAAACATCAAATTCCTACCTGAGAAAAAAGGTACCTTTTATTTGCATTAGTCACTTCAGTGTAATGTGCTTTGCAGTCAAGTCATTATACCATATGTAGTGCTCAGTTAGGTTCCAT